GAAATAAATGAAATTTATGGTAAACTTTGGTACTAATAAAAGTCAAAACTCAAACTTGATCTGAGTAAGCTCAAACTTGATCTTAAAGTAAAAATAAAAATAGAATTATTTTGCAAAGTTTGAAATGGTGTTGGTTAGTGTGTGCAGCGCCACTTTTCTAAGTGGTACTTTTTCGATTTTACAATACTCTTTACATATAAATTGTAGATCTTTTTTTGAAAAGTCTATTAAATGTGTGTAACGCAGATCTATCCATAAAAGGATTTTTAACTATGCTGGTCAACTATGTTTGTGTTTATTGAAATTTGTAACACCCCAACCATTGATCATTATGACATTTAGTATTTCCAAATTTAGTAAAATACTCACCAATAAAAAATTTTTAAAATTGCACCATCAAAACAATTTGATATTAAAAAACAACAATTTATTTTTTTTAATACATACATTATTTTACTCTCCAGTTCTTGAATAATGGCATCACTTTTCGATTCGAACCTTTTTGAAGCTCTCCATCACCCAGGTAAGCTTCTATCCAGACTTTCATAATTAATTTTAAGCAGGAAGAAAAACTTAACTCTCTTTTCATAGACTACTGGAATCGCAACCCAAATTCATGGGGAAGTTTGAGTGATTGGGATATATACTATATCAATCATACACCTGGTAGCACAAAAATGAAAGCACATCAGTCACTTGGATTGGAACTTAAAGTTCTTCTAAAAAGGCTTTCAAAAACAAGCTATGGTTATTATAAGGCAATTGAATTACAAAAGCTCTTGAAGGTCAGCATTTTTATTCTAAATTGAAAGATTTTTCTTCAGCCATTATTTTAGGGACACCAATATCATGCATGCCCTGCAATTGCTAATTGAGTGACTTTGTCGCAGAGGGCAAAATGTTTCTTTGCTTGAAGTGGGCAGAAAGCAAAATGTTCTTTGCTTTATAGGGCCTTCAGGCCCAATATGCTTGGTGGTTCCATTGATATTTGCCTATAATTGCACCCTGCAATTGCTAATTGAGCGACTTTGTCGCATAGGGCAAAATGTTTCTTTGCTTGAAGTTACAATTTGGGATTTTCAGATCTGGTTGTAACATGCATGGTTAGGCAAGCTACCAACTGTGATCATCTAATACAACAATTATTTGCACATACTCACAAATAACTGTTATATTTTTTTTGAAGGATTGTCATAACAATCCAGTGAATATAGAATTGTGGCAAGAACACTCTACAAAATTAGGAAGGCTAGCTGTTGAAAATCGAATGAACAAAGTATGTAATGTTTTTGACTTTATTACCATGGAAGACTCTGATATAACCTTTTCTTTAAATGGCTGCCATTAGC